TGTGTCTAGATGGTGGGGTGCAGCTTCTATTTTCTAAATCATTAATCAGCAACCCTGGTGTCCATCTTCCTTATCCAGGAGCTTGGGATAGGGTCACTTCCCTTTCTGTTTAAATCCTTTGTACATTCTAAAGCTACAATTTAAAATGCTTAGTACTAAGCAACATTCTAAGGTTATAATTCAAAAGTCCTTATTACAAACTAGCTTAAGACTTCTACATTCTAGAACTACAGTTTAATAGCCTTAATATTAAGCAACATTCTAAAGTTATAATTCAAATGTTCTTATTACAGAACAGCTTAAGACTTATAATTGTTATTAGCAAACAAAAGATTGGTTCAAACACCTTCTTTCATGCTTTCCTTGGCTGTTTATTAGAACTCATCTTTATAGCTGTCCCATGGCTGTTTTACACATTTCATAACCACAACTACAGAGGTTGCCTTTATTTACCTGACACAAAACACAACTTTGTATTTCACAGTAATACATTGCCTCTGGGGCTGGATGATAGGGAAAAGCCAAGGCGGAATAACTAATGTCAAAAATTGTTTATTTTGAGCTAAATATCAAAGACTAACTTAAATTCGAAGGGACCTCTGAAGGGCATCTGGTGCCACCCCCAGCTCAGAGCAAAGACAATTTCTCAGTTAAATTGGGTTGCTCAGGGCATTGTGCTCTTTTTTTGGGGCTGTCTCCAAGGATGGAGATTTCCCAGCCTTTTTGGACAGCCTCTCCCTGTGCAGAACCACTCTCATGTAAAGCTCACTGAAGTTTTCCCTCGTGTGTCTTGTGCCTGTTGTCCCTCACTGTTGTGGACATTCAGAAAGGACTTGTATTATACTCATATATACTATTAACACAACTAAATATTATAATAGAAATATTATCAAAGAAATACAAACCTGTCACTATATTTATACGATATCAACAAAATATCACTGAAACAACAGCAAATAAAATAAAAATGCCAATATTGATTTTTATCAATAAAATGCTTTTTGATGGGGTAGGAAATGGACATTAAACTTTTCCACTTGACATCCCTGTCATTTAATGTGGTTTTTTTGTTTCCTTTTTTGTTCATTCAATTACATCTCTGTTGCAAACTGAGAGCTTGTGAGGGGATTCAAAGGCCAACCAGGGGAAGAAAGCATTGGTGGTAAATTATACTACGGTAGAGAGATTATTGATTTATGAGGCCCTTTTGAAATATTAATCAATCATGACAATCTTTCTCCTTCAGTTAGACACCATAATTCTTATTCAAAAACAAGAGGAAGCTAGAAATCACAAAATCCTGGAATCTTCAAGGTTAGAAGATCATCCACTGCCACCATCACCACAGCACATCACTGTCATGACCCTGAAATTGTGTCCCCGTTGTGGGGCACAGGGCAGGACCTGTTGTGTGTCACCGTGGGCAGAGCTTGTGGGGCACAAGAGGAACCTGGCACTTGTGCAAGCAGGATGTGTGTGGTGTGTGCAGGCACCTCTGGGAATGTGCAGGGCACCTCTGGGAATGTGCAGGGCACCTCTGGGAGTGTGCAGGACACCTCTGGGAATGTGCAGGGCACTGCCCTGAGCTTTGGATGTACTGGAATGTCCAGAGCTGCAGTTGGCAAGGCCACCTGAAAGCCTCTGGGGAAGGATTGAGGGACAAACCAAGGGAGAGAATATCACCGTGGGAGGATGCTCTTGACCACCCAGCCAGGAGGTCGACCCCCCAAAATGATTTTTTAAGGAATCAAGGGACACCTCCAAATCAGCTGCCCTTGTCCTTGTGGAGAATTCATCTTGCCAGGTGTTCACTATATAATGTTATATTATGTTATATTATGTTATATTATGTTACATTATGTTATATTATGTTACATTATGTTATGTTATATTATATTATATTATATTATATTATATTATATTATATTATATTATGTTATGTTATGTTATGTTATGTTATGTTATGTTATATTTATTATATTATATATTATACATATAATATATATATTTTTATTATAATATGTTATAATATATAAGATATTATAATAAATAAGATATTATAATAAAATATACATTATTTATTTTATATATATATTATATATATGCAATTTGCAATGCTCCATGTCATATATTACATATATGATCTTACAATATTAAAAATATATTATTTATCACTATTTATTATATATAGACATTATAAATATTAAATAACATAGAATATTTAAGTTTGTATGTTATATTAGCATTATGTTTTGCTATTTATTAAATATTAATGTAATAGTTTCTGTTATTATTAGCTAATATTATTAACTGTAATTTATAATTAACTAATATTAATATCTTAATATTTTCTTTTATTGGATATAAGAGTCCCTTGCTTGCTAGCTAATCTTTTTCTGTGCTCACTCTGTCTCTTCTTTTGAAGAGGTTTCTTTTTTCTCACTGGGTTTCTGGGGTCACTGGGCTGGGGGTTGGTGGCCACTGTCTCCCTGTGCCCCTACTTGGGCACGAGCAATTGGCCACAGGGACACACACAGGGGGTTGTGGTCAGTGGCTCTGCTGGAAATGATACAACTTTTCAATTTTTTAAGTCACTTTTGTCATTGGTTTATTCACCTTTGCCAAGGTAAGGGAGGAATTGAAGGTTTTCTTCAAAATACTCTTTTCACCAAGGTTTGAGTTTCACTGGGTGAGGCCTGGTGGGCTTCAGACAACAAAAAGAAGATTCCTAGACTCTGAAAGTTTAACATCTACAGGTTGGGAAAAAACAGAAGATACAGATACAGAAAAGCCAGAAGACACAGAGATGATAAATGGGCATTGCAAACCTGACCCCCTGGTGCAGATGGAGACACCTGGTCTGGGAAAAAATTGATAAGAGAACCAAAGAATTATCACCAAATTAGCATCAAAGAGGAAGGGATCAGTAAACAATAGGAGACTGAATACTAAGAATTGTGTGATTCAGAGACAGCAAACAAGAATTACTTGGGGTTTTTATGTATAAATGTGTGAAAAGTCTGGTAAAAAAACATGAGTGAAGGAATGATTTCCACTGCACAACATGGGCCATGTGTGAATGAAATGGTTCCATTGCAATTCCTGGCCAGAATAAAGTAATTCCTGATTCTCTATTGCTTTGAAGGTGTTGTTGGAGAGTTCCTGCTCTTCCTGCACTTTTGGTGACAGCTCCATGTCCAGCTGCAGGTCTGGGATGAGGGCTGTCCCTCAGGGCTCTGCCATGGCTCCAGGGCTCTTGAATGGCTTCCCCAATGACACAGACAGTGGATCCAGCTCACCCTCAGCACATTTGCAGGGGATGGGAAGCTGAGAGGGGCAGGTGTCACTATGGAAGGACAGGGCCATGCAGAGGGACCTGAGCAAGCTTGGGAAGTGAAACCACAAAAACCTCACAAGGTTCAACAAGTGGCAGGTGCTACACCTGGGTCAGGGCAATCCCAGGGACACTGAGTCACAACTTATTCCAATGCCTATAACCACTCTTTAAGTGATTTCCCCCCTGCCTAATATCTAATCTGTAGCACAGACCTTCACAAAAATTAATTTTCAAGACAAGGGAAGACCTGGAATACCTGGGAAGGGAGTTTTTCCCTCAGCTCCCAGGCATTACTAGTACAGGTTGGGTCTCCCACCTCCTCACAGGAGGAAATGGGCAGGTTAAGTCAGCAAGAGCACAGATAAAAGGTCTGAGAAAACTCTCCTGTGAGGGTTAACAGAGATTTTTCTTGCTTACTATTCACTGCATGCACTCTTTCTTTCAATGGACTGTGTTCATTGATATTGTGCAGTGTCACAATTAGAAAACAGTAAGAGGAAGCAGGAGAAGGAACAGACGGTATTTACAGAGATTTCAGCCTCCCAAGGAGGCCATCAAACAGCCAAAAAAGAAACAGTGCATGTAAAGAAAGGTAAAATATTCCCATGAATGGCTACAAGAGGGGTAAGAAGCAAGAAGCTACCTTTTACATCTAGTTACTACAATAAAGAAGAGGGAAAATGAAGAAATTGAGGTCAAACTGCATTTGCGTTTCCAGTCACATACAAAAAATAAAAAAAATTCATTTGGAGTTATTGCTAAATGCTTCACTGCATCCAAAATAGGACATTTCATTTGTTGAATGATGTTACTCTCTTTAACCCTTTAAAAGATGGCCTGTTTTGAGGCACAAATAAATTCACAGAAATTCTTCAAATGATAGTTTCCAACATGTTTATTCTCCACAAAAAGCAATTTTCATCTCTGCTCAACAGAGGCCTGGGTAGTGGGGTAAAGACATCATTTTATAGGTATTTAACACAAGCAGTTTTTAACATTCTACATGAAGTGGCCAAAACCAGGGCTGATGAAGGAAGGGAGAACATTGAGAACATTGTAGGTCACGGTTGACAGTCATGAAGTCACAAGGCTCATTTCCAAACATTCACTGAGCTCTAGCAGGTCCCTGGAGCATGCACAGGGAAACTTTATGTGAAATTAATAATACTGAAGTGATTTACTCAGAGACAGAGCAAGGAGAGGAAATGCTTGTGTCACTGTGCACGTTCAGTATGGCTGAGCATGCCAGAGACTCCTTGCAGCCCAAGTTTTATCTTGATAGATACCTAAAATGTACAAGAACTAAACATAGCCTTCTCCATGTGGTATGGAAATACAGGAAATTCAGGTTTGGTGGATTAGTATGGAGCAAAAAATACTGCAGTGAAACAGTACCTTGGGGCTGGGGCCCTCAGGGACAGAGGTAGGTAGAACATGTAAGGGATGAGAAAATAAACTACTTTGATTTTTGTTTTCTGTTGCAAAGGGGAAAAAAAAAAGTTGGAAATTGTGAATATTAATGTATTTTGATAAGATTAACAAAGGAGACCCAGACACAGCTAGTGTTGGTTTTTTTTTTTTTTTTTTTTTTTTTTTTTTTTTTTTTTTTTTTTTTTTTTTTTTTTTTTTTTTTTTTTTTTTTTTTTTTTTTTCCAGCTCTTTGTCTGGTGGACTTGCATTAGGTTGTCTGACATGTCTCGTGTTTTCCTGGTGTGCTCCAGATTTGAATTCAGACTGTCAGACTCAGCTGTCACCAGGCAGAAGTTTGAAAACCAAGGGGGTGCAGGGAACCTGTCCCAAGAACCCAAGCTCCTTACACACAGCAGCAAGAGAAGGACCTGCAAAGAAAAATGAGCAAGCGTTTAGGGCAAAAAGTGCAGTTTTACCCAAGGCATGCTCCAGCAGAATGAGGGCAGCCAGCTAGCTCCAGGGGCTTCCACCCACCCCATTTGGAGAGGAGGGACTGTCCCCCACATCAGGGAATTAATTTCCCTTTGCACCTTCTCTGTGCAGTCCCATCCCCATCCCCATCCCCATCCCCATCCCCATCCCCATCCCCATCCCCATCCCCATCCCCATCCCCATTCCCTGCCACACAGAAGCTGAGGCTCACCTGGGAATTCCCCACTCCAGACCTCCCAAGAACCCGGGGAGAGCCTGGATCACCCTGTGCCCCATCCAGGACCCTCTCCTCCTTCTGGCCCTGCTGTTTTGTAGACACCAACTTCAGCATCTGCTTCTGCACTGCTCTTCAAAGCAGTGTGGCCTTGGCAGGAAAGAAGACACTGCTGGTTCATCTATCCAGAAACACTCTGGCACTCCACACTTGCTGGTATGGTTAAAACAGCAGCTGCTGCTCCTTCACAGTTACTTCACCAGTGTAAAAGTGCTCGCAGCAAACACAGCTCATTGCCACTGGGGCAAGAATAACCTCCCAGCAGGCAGCAGCTTCCCTTACACCCGTGGTGTTTGGGGTTTCTCTGAGATGCTGAACCCTGCAGAAAGCCCACCTGGAGAAAGGGAGGGGTGGTCCCACTGCAGAGGACAGGGAGTGGTCAGGGCAATGAGGTACCCCTCATGCAGATCTGTGCCCAACTCCAGCATGCAAAACCTCTTGGGGAAGATCCCAGCAGGCAGAGAGGGCTCATCATTTGCAGTTTGTCACAATGATTTCAGAAAACACACTCATCCCATAGAGGAAGATGCATAAAAGTGGCAGAGCCTGCAGAGCTGACACTCATCTGTCAAGGGAAGCTGCTCTTGCCCACCTGGTTCAGGGCAAGCAGCTCACCTCCCTGCCAGCACCAGTGTGACCAGGATGGCACCCAGGAGGATGCACTGCCTGCTCCCAACCCAGTGAAGTTTTCCCTGCAGAGCTAACCAGGATATATAAATTTCCCAATAGACAAATTGCTTTGGGAAGCTGAGTTTGGTAATTGGCTGGTGGTGACTAATCCCTGCCTGATTACAGAGTAGCAGTTCCACAGGTATGAATCAGAACCTGCAATTGTCAGCCCTCCCCCAAAACAGGGGCTCTTTCTTGCCTGGTTTGATACAGTTGAGCCATTGTGCAGCAGTGACAGTTCACTCCTCACACTCGCCAAAGGGAAATATAATTACAGTGCATTCAGGGGAAGGGGGAAAGGCTCAATATACAGAAAAAGAAATAATTATATACAAATGCACAACTCCTGCAAAGAGAGACGTTTCTGAAATCTCAGGGAGGAGGGGAAGAATGGGCCATTTCAATTTCATACCTCTGAATGATAGTGGCATTCTACAAATGTGTTTCTGTCCTGGAGCAAAACTGTCTCTAGAAGCCCCTGAATAGAGGATGCTTCCCATGATCCAGAGATCCACAAAGGCACGTGAATCCACCTTGGTTTTCAGAGCTCCTTCCTCTCCTCCACAGGACAGTTTCAGCTTCTTCCTTATTCCAGGCACTGTGCCAAAAAGGCTGAGGGTGCCAAGCCAACATTTCCTCAAAAGCATTTCTCCATTTTCTGAAGCTGAGCTTGCAAACCGTGGGCTCCTGCTTCCTGTGGGGGCTCCTGGGCAGGGGGAAGGCAGCCCCCATCAGTGATCCCTCTGAGCAGCTTGATTTGCCTTCCAGGGAACCCAAATCCTTGCCTGGTCACATTGGACACTGATGGGCAAAGCTGAGCATCTGCCTGCCTGGGGTGGGGGGTTCAGAGGGAAGAAAAGAGCAGCAAAAGCCACCCCCCACCCAGCCAGCTCCTGCCTCCACTTTGGGAAGTGGGGGGCAACTAGAAGAGGCCACAGCTTGGCATTTTGGGATGTTTACCCCTTGGAAAGGGAGTAGGCCTAGTCATTGCCATCCCATTTCCCTTGAAATACAGAGAAAGGGAATTTTAAATGAAGTCTAACTTATGAGTAGGTAGAGATGGATATTTGAGTGCTAAACCAGATTTCTTTCAGGACTTCTGCAAATGCACAGAGAAGAGAGAGCATTTTAGGAACACTTCACCATTTAGATATTAACAACAGATGCTAAAATGAGCGTGTCAGCTCTCTGCTTCATTTTTATTTAAACACATAAACTGTTCTGCACTTGGAAGAAATAAGGCCTGTGCATAACCTCATCTGAAGATCTTTGTGCTTGCCATCCTAGAACTGCCATCCTGGGATTACCATCCAGGAGCACTGCGAGAGCTAATGAAATTTTAATCCCCCAGTACTGAGCGCGGTATGTGCATAATGAATGTTTGCACACACACACAGCTCTTTGTCACCCCAAAGCAGCAGCACTCACCTCCTACAGACACATGTCTGTGTTAGTCAGGGCTGTGACTTCCTGCTCCAGGCCATCAGACTGTGTCCATACCCCAGATCCCAGCCCTGTGACTCGTTTGTTAATTGACAGGCTCAGGCATCAGACGTGGCTCTTCGTCACACTCAGCCTCATGTGCTGTCAATAACTGCTGCTTTGTCATGCAGTGCTAATATTCCTACCAAAATCCATATGCAGCTCCTCTCTCTGTCACAGGGATCAACCCCACAACAGGCATTTCAGTAATTCCCCCGCAGACAGGCAAGAGGAGAATTTTATAGCTGAGCTTAAACCATTTTTTCTTCATGGAAGTTATTGCTTTGTACAAATGGGTTCCTTCTTCCTATAATTAGGGCCTTTATACATTTCTTTTCGTGTGTGGATGTCTGAATTATGAGCTTTAAAATTACATTTTGTATCTTAAAACAAGCAACCAGTTCTTCAAAACACCTCAGTCCTAAGGAACTTCTGTTGAATTGTTGAACTGTTGCAGCTGAGGGATGTATTTCCAAAATTCAGGTTGTTTATGGGAGCTAATAAAGGCTGTCTTCTGTTTAATTAAGCTAATAGAGGCTGTCTTCCTATGAATTTTGTTACATATTCTCACACCTCCTGCCAAAATAATCCCAGTGCACCCATATCCCTGTTTCCCATCTAAATCTCTGTCTGTACCTAGAAAAAGGCTTTTTCTGAGTTTTTTCTGAACAGCAAATGCACGTACAGATCAGTGAGATCTGGATGCCAAATGGCACATACACAGCATTGCCACCTTTGTTTCACACAGCTTGTGGCACCACTTTGGGGACATTTCTTGTCCACACAGCCACAGACACCCCTGAGGCATGCAGGAGCATCATTCCCTTGAGAGAGACCCTGCACGTCTGCCAGGTTAGCCTGAACTTGGGTGGTGAATTAAAGGGGAGATGGAGTCCAACTGGTCAGTAGAACCCTTTCTTCCCTTTGGATTCAGGTTAAAAAACTGGGCTCAGCTGCTGGCTTGCCGGGGCACAAAGAAATACCAGAGCCAGGTGCCACCCATCAGTGTGACAGAAGATGTCACCTAGTCCTCTTGGTAACCCCAAGAAGGTTACAGGCTGGCTTTAAAAAAATAATATCCAAGTAGGTATGTGTGGACAGAGTGTTAACCAAGGCAGAGGTTCTTTCAGCAAACTCCCTGCTGAAGCAAGGTGAATAATAATCCCTGGCAAAGTGCAGAAAGCTCTGCTTCTTCACCAGCATGGAGCTAATTCTCCCCTAAAGATCTTGTGCCGGTATTTCTCCTGGCCCATCCCCTCTCCCTTACAGGGCATTTATTGATGTGAGCATAAATCAGAGATCAATGAATTGAAACTCATTTTTTTTTCACCTCTGAAAACACATGTGAAGCAAAACTTCAGGAGCAGTTCCCTGTCCTTGAGTCTACAGGAGCTTCACAATATGGGACAGTGCACACAGTCACACAGGGATCACGAGTGAGGAATTCAAGGCTCAGTTGCTCACAAGATGCAGAATTGCAGCCTCAAAGAGGTGTGCAACTCTGAAAATGTCCTTAAAAAACAGCAACTTCCAAATCAGGCAGCAATAATGTGTTTTCCTACTCTAGGGCCTCTGAGGAGTTATTAAATACAATTTTCCAGGCTTATTCAAATGTCAACTCATTATAGCCTGTGCAAATAGGAAGGCAGACCATGAGATTTGTGTTTTTGTTATAACTATTTTTATATTAAATCTATAAAATGCATAAAGGAGCATTAAGCCCTGTTATTCTCTTTCTCTTTTTTTTTCTTTCCCCATAGCCGCCCAGCCTCTTTTTGAAAAGGGTCATTCAAAAGCAGCCAAATAATAAAGGTTGGATGAGGACATTCCAATCCCTCCTTATCCACTTAAAAACACAATATTCCAAAGGCACTTCTGGAGTGCTTCTTTTGGCAGCTACAACTGGAGCCACAGTAGAAACCTTTCAGTGGGTCATCCTGATGGATGGCCTCTTACATGGATGAGCCAGCTGTCCCCATCAGGAGTGGGAATCATCTCAGCAGACTGAGGGGACTTTAAAGAGGCATTTATTGTATAAAGGAATAAGGGTACCTTGCACTTGTATGGATCTTTGCAGCAGCAGATCTCCAAAGATCTGCAGAGAGCTCGTTTTTGTTATCAGGCAATGGAGAAGTGGAGACCTCCCAGCCCAGAAGGGCTTGTTGAAAGTCACCTTGTTCCAAGTCACCCTGTGGTCTGAGCAGAAGAGCTGGGACTAAGGCACTCAAATTCCAGCTTGGTGCTGCCCCTGTTTCATCATCCTCATCGTCATCCTTCAGCCTCCTCATCCTCCTCCTGCCCCATCCCTGTGCAGTAACACCTAATTAAAGACATGAACACTTTGGTGTTTATTTCTCCCTCTCCTTAGGACACTCGTGGCTTTTTCAAGCATTTTTGAGCTGTGATTCTGCAGCTGACAGCAAATGTCCTTTTGATGACTTTGTCAGACTGCCAGGGCTGTGAAGACATCTCCAGAATTCTCCAGAATCCTCGACTCTCCCTCTCTTGTCCTTCCTCTTCGTGTGCCAGTTCCCACTGGGATGTCCAAATGTCCACTCAGGAGCTCTCCCAGAAACTCCAGGGCAACCCCACTTCTGCAGACACCACACATCTGACCACAGCAAGGGCTCCCTCAGCCTCACTACCTTTATCAAAATTCCAGGCAGTAGCCAGGCAAAGTCCGACATCACTTTATTTTAGAGGCCAAAAAGGGTGTTTTGTTTTATTTGCAAGATTTTGTCAGTCTTTATCTCCTCAAAAGCAGACGAGCAAATTTCACGTAAAATGGTAAAAAGTGAGCTTGCTGCTAAGGCAGAGCAAGAAATCAGTCTTATTTCAGGTCAGAATTTAACTAGTGATGAAGCCCTATGCAACCAAAAACTGCCTTGAGTGGAAAAAAAATGCCTGAGTTCTTGCAAGTCCAAAGGGCTTACATGAGTCCCTGGGGCTTTGAATTCCTAAATTTCTCAGAAGCTCTGGGTTTTTAAAATAAGTACAGTAGCAGATAAACAGGATTAGAGACTTTAAAACCAGATTTATAAACCTTTCCAGGGCTACCCAGGCTGTGCCCACTAGATGGTTCCTAGAAAATTAGTCTCCCTTAAGATTTCCTGGACTGGTACAGACTTAAAATTTAATTTTCTTTAATAACAGTCCCACAGAGTAATTGTTTGCACATGCATGGGCATGCTGAGATAGATGTGGTTATTTGGCTCATTTAATTGTCTGTGCACCAGGGATCTGGCAAGAGGACCTGCTGTGTCAAGCAGTGTCTAATCTCCCATAAAAACCCAGCACTTCTGGCACACACAGTCAAGCTCACAAGTTTTAAGCACCCTTCCTCATCAGTTATACAAGCAATCTGTGATCCTCCACATTCTTCCAAAAAAACCCAAAAAACCAAAAAACCTGGGAGTTGTCAGACCAGCCCTGTCCTCCCAAGACCTATCCTGCCATGCCACATCCACAGCAATACAAGCACAGCTCTCCTCATAGCTGATGGCTTTCTCCAAATTATACTTTTTTGGGTTTTTTAAAATCTGAATCTCAGCTTTCTCTACTTAAAAAAATAAAAATGGTTGGGAGAGAAAGTGTGATGGCAGAGAAAAAGCTTGAAAAAATAGTGATGTTGTGATAGCTGAAGGCAAAATCAAGCACAAATATGTACTTTTTTAAAGTTCATGAATTGTGACTTTGGGGTTGATTACATTACTTTGGGGGTCAGATTTGTGCTTAAAAGCCCTTTGAGTGGGTTGAAGGCCATGTGCCTGGATAATGTATTGCTTGACCATCCATGCTGCTCTCAGGGTTGTGATTGACCACAAGGGTACAGCCTGGAGCCTTTCTTTGTGTTGCCACCTCTTCCTTGCCTTAAGAAGGGCTCTGTGAAAAAGGGGGAGTTTCACCATCTCTAAAGTATACAAGAAAAAAAAAAAACCTCAAAGAGTTCATGCTGATTTAAGTCTGAAATGTTGCAGAAAAAAATGCAGCCTTGCCTTCAGGCACCTGATCTCATTGAAAACCAATGTGTTCTGGGGAGATGAGGGCTGGTTTTCCAAAGCAGGTTGCTGGACTAGTTTCCTGCCTCGGCTAGCCAAGGGCTGTGCTGCTGCTGGCACCAGGGAGAGGGAAGGAGCACGTGGCTGGGAAGGTGGACAGAGCTGCTCCTTTTTCCAGCAGGCAGGACTGTGGTGCTGCAGGGATTGCCAACTGGCTGGTGGCAATCACAGGCAGGGAAGCTGGCTTTGGTCTCCAGATGCTGAGAATAGCCCCTGAACAATAGGACATTGCTCCCCTCTCCCTGGGACACAAGCACGGGTCAGAGGGAAAAGCAGTCATCGTGCCTTCTCCAAGTTCCCAAACAAGTTGTTCAAAATAATAATAATAATAATAATAATTTAAAAAATGAATGAATATCTGGAGGCTTTTCTGTTTCAGCTATGTAATCAACAAAATGCTGTGTCCTTCCCCACTGAGGAGCATTTAGATGTTCTGTCCCCTAGCAGCAGCCTGCTAATAGGGATCATGAGGCCTGGCTGTGCTGCCAAGAAGAAAGCTCCAGCATGGCTTTTTCCAAATCTCCACAGGTGCCTGATCTGTGTGCACATGCTTTTTGGATTGTTTTTCAGTCTCCTGTTTTGTTAGGTTTTGCACTTGCAGATAATCCCCCTGGATGGCCACATGTTGGCTGGAAAAGGCAGGAGGGCATCACTGGGAGATCTGGATGCTCTTCCACTGCCCACTACCAAATGAGGTTGGGAGGGAGCTAAACAGAACAGTCCTCACCATCTTTGTGGGTTACGCTTTTTTTCTGGTTTCCATTTGAAAGCCAGCATCAATTAGCATATTTTTCTCCCCTTTTACATGACTGCTGCTAATTATTTTATTAGTTGCAAGAACAAACCGAATTTGTGATTATTAATGTGGGTATAAATCTCAGTGTGCTCACAGACATGCTTGGGAGGTTTTGCATTATGTTTTAAGATAAGAAACAAGTGACTACAGCAGCGATTATGACTATTGCTTTAATCTTTCACACAACTGGAGAGTTCAGTGTCCATGGCTGAGGTCTCATTCTCCTCTTTCCCTACTGAAAGTGCTCCCAGTTCAATACATTTAAGTGGGAATAGGGACAACGAGTTCAGGTTAAGATGTCCAGTATTTCTTTTACGTACACAGTATTGTTACTGTGATTTCACAATCAGTCAGAAACAAAAATGTTAGGTAGTTTGCCAGGGAAAGAAAAGCAAGAGAAAGGAGGACAAAGGATCCAGACAAATAAAATGGATGGTGCTGGAGAGGTGCTGCCCCTTTTCAGCTGCAGGTCAGTGGCACCTCCTCACTGGTGCCAGCAGCAGAGGAGGGCATGGACAGCCCCAAAAAGGCACTTCAGCCCTCATTTCACCCCCCTTCCTCCACTGTGTCTGTTTTCTCCACTGGTGTAAGGCAGACAGGCCACCTGCAGCATCAGCTCTGGCACTTCAGTGCAGGGGCTGAAGAGAGTCTGGCTGAAGTTGGACCTCAGCCTGGTCATAGCAAGAGTGCTGCTCTTGCCCTGCAACTTCAGCTGATACCAGGCACGCTTCAGTAATCTGAAAATCAACCACTTCTTTCACAATGGGGGATTTGCAGTGCAATTAGGCACAAACAAACCATCAGAAGTGGATGCGGGCAATTCAGTCAAACACCCTCATGCACATTCTTGAACTGGTTACCTCATGTCTGTATCAAAGGCATTGATATAATGGCTCTCAAGTGGAAAAAGCTGCAGCTGCTCAACAACTCCACGTCCTAAACTGATTTACAGCCTGAACAAGACTGAAGGATGTCCCATGACTTATGCCTGTGCTGAGAGACAGAACGTGCTGAGTGCACGTTTGTCTTTGGTCCGACATCATGCCAAATGTGGCAACATACCCACTCTGCTTGGGACCTCTTAATAGCAGATCTTGATTCACAGTGCCTGTGAAGCTGTTTCAAGTCCCTCTAACTGCAGCCTGATGCAGACATTAGGTGTTGCACACATAGTAAAGGTGCCTGTGTGAACATGTCTGGGTAGCACAGAAAGAACTGATGCAGAGACACCCAGTTTCAGATCCCCAGACCTTCCTATTCATCAGTTCAAAGAAAGACAGAGGAAGGAGGAAGAAACCCTAGAAAAAGAGAAGTAGGGCTCTTTATTAGCAGCATGAACTTTCACAATGCTTTTATCACAGGACAGAAAAGCCACAGGCCAGTCATTGGGTGGCTGTAAGTTAAGGCAATATTGAGCTCAACCTTCAGCTAATTAAGTTCTCAGAAAACCACAACTGCAGGAAGGCAGACACTTGCTAAATAGATTAATTTTTTCTTTGCTCGTGTATTTTTGATACTTGCCATCTCCATTTCCACCAGACAAAATCACATTTACTGTTCTATTTTGCAACACTTGGTCCATCCAGATACAGAATACAGCTCTCACCAGCAAAAACCCCACACCACATGGGCTACCAGTGTTAACCACAGGGTGCCTGCACTGGGCAACTGAAAGGAAATACAGGTAGGGGCACTTCCAGCACCATCAATATGAGGGTGCAGCTCTGTACCACTGTGAGCAGACAGCTCCTGAAAGCAGAAAACTAAACAGAACCACCACATAACTGAGCTAGCTCCTGCCACCTGAGCTGGGATCCTGTGCTTGGGTGGAAAGCCAAGTGCCCTGAGAGCCCTGACTCCTGCAGGGTGTGTTTTGGTGTCTTTGTTCATCATGTACAATTCCAAGAGCTCTGCATTTCAGCACCAGCAGACCTCATCTCAAGAGGCTGCTGCTTCCCAAGGTCCATTAACTCACCACAAATCCCTTCTGCACAGCTGGCGTGGCTGAGATGTGCCTTATACCTGATGCCAGAAGCTGCTCAGTGGAGCTTCAGAAGATGTTTTCCTCTCCCTAAAAGGAAAAAAAAGAGAAGGGTTTCTGTTGGATGTGATGAGAAAAGCTTTCCCTGGCCAGCTGCACTCTGCAGGGCTCTGTTTGGTACACATAATTATCTGCTTTGTAATGGGGATTTACTGCACATGTGATGGTGTGCTCTGTTTATAAAATACCTGATGAAGGCAGCACCTGAGCACACCTGTGCGTAGCCATGCTGGGTGCCTGTTTGAGGCGACTGGTGCAGGCTGCCCTGCAGCCCCTGTTTTGATAATCTGCCCTTCCATTATCCCTGCTGTTTCACAGGCACCAAAAGATAAGAGTGAGGAGCTGCAGCAGAGCAGCTTTGCATGATGGCAGCAGAAGGTGCACACATGGAAAGGACAATTGGTGATGGTGAGGGGAGTCAGTGAAACTAAAGCACACGACAGCCCCAGAGCTCACTGTGGATGTGGCAGGGATGGACATGATGGCTATCAGCCTCCGTGGAGCCTTGGCTTTCTGTAGGAACTGCTCATCCAGCACAAGATGTAACACATATTCATCTGTATGCAAAACTGGGGCCGGGTTTAAGAGAAACAAAAGAAGCAGCTGTGGAGTGCAGCAGGCTACCAAAGTGGTGAAAGCCCAGATGGTGAGGGGAAAGGGATCTTGTGCACACACTGGGCACCAGCAAGCACTGCTGGCAGGGAGGGAGAGGTAGGTGGATTTTTGCTTGCCTTTCAAAAAGCAGCATCTGACCTGCACACCATGCCCCCTGCACAACACAGGGGCAGGACAGTGAGGGTGTGTGGGGTTTTTTTAACCTGGGTTTGAGCTCTTAGTGTGCAAACCATGTTGCTGTCACAGCTTCAGCAAGAGCAGCTTGCCAGGCCAAACCCCTGCAGTTTGGTTCACCTGCATCTTTTTCTTGCACTGCTCTTTTAAACTCAAAGGGTTTAAATTAAATGCTAGGAGGAGAATAAAGAAGTACTGGCACAGGTTGCCCAGAGAAGCTGTGGATGCCCCATCCCTGGAAGAGTTCAAGGCCAGACTGGATGCTCAGATGCTTTGAGTAACCTGGCCTAGCAGGTGGCAGGAGAGTTGGAATGAGATGATCTTTAAGGTCCCTTCCAACCCAAACCATTCTATGATTCTATGACAGCTGGCTGAGGCACAGAAAGGGTTAAACAATCAGGAGGCTCGGGACATGGAGGATGTCTATCTGCAAGTGGAGTGGCACGGGTGTTTTCCCCAGGGTGAAGGATCTGCAGGTGGCCCCGAGGAGCAGCACTCTTGGTTTGGTGGGGCTTGCAGCACAGCGCGGGGCGTCTGGGCCTGTCCCCAGCAGGTGACCCTGCTGCTCACATCCAGACCAAATTCGGGGATGTTTAAATGTAGAATCTGGGTTCAGTCCCACTGCACAGACACAGTGGAAATCTGAAGGTCTGGAGGCACTGCTGTGGCAACACATGGCCTTAATTCCCTGGGGCTGGAGTCACTCATGGGAGGCTTTTGTACCGGGATCCTCTGCCTGGTGCCAAGACAAATAATGCAGTGGGCTTTACTGACCCTGATAGATAAAGCAGACAGATTCAGCAGTTTCAAGGTAAAAACTCACTGAGTAACCATCCACCTCCAAAAACCCCCTTGTGCTACACATCTCCCTCACTGCTCAGCCCCTGGCAGTGGCTGCCAGCCTTGGGCACTCCCTAACCCTGGACCCTCTCCAGCCCAGCACAGGCAGCCACAGCTCTCCACATTTTGCCAAACCTCTGCTTTATTTGCTCCTTCACTAAAAACACAATGCGTTTTCCATGCTCTGTGTGGCAGATTGCTGCCAGTGGCCCAGATGAGTGGAACTATTTGCACGAAGCTGAGGTCGATGAGATAAGGCTTGTGCAAATAAAGGGTCGCCAGGCTGGGCTGGATTGGGATGAAGCTGGCAGCCTCCTCGCAGGGCTCTGGCAGCACAGCCCAGCTCAAACCTGATGCAATGGGTGCTGCGGGCTCGTGGTATTTTCACCGAGTGTTGTGTGAACTTGGTGTGTGTGATTTGGATCTTTACGAGTTTGTTAACAATTGTATCCGTGCCTAGATGGGCAAGATGAAGGAGGCAAAATTCCAGGCAGTAAAAGGTAATTAAGGCTCATCTTCAGTGCCAGGAGTCGTTGGGAAACTGTGGCCCCATCCCAAAAAATGGGCAGAGTCCTGTCTCACTTGGGTGAAGTCCCTATGAGGTAAAAGACCTGGAGTTGTATAGCACTGGGGCTGAGCAAAATCTGTCACTGTGGACACAGGCTCCAAAAGGGGCTGCACAAGAGCCCTGATCTACCCAATTCTGGGAATGTGCCAGCCCATGGATGGGCTCTGGGCTGAGGCTCCTGTTTTAAACACAAACAGAAGAGGTACAGCACAATCCTTGGGAGACAGGATGCCAGGCTCCCATAACACCTCTTAAAAATACAGACCTGGGGCAGGGGTCTGCAAGCACATATAGAATATTTGGAAGACATTCATATTGCACTGAAGGGTACAATATGATGAGTCATTTTTTAAATTGTCATTTAAATATTTGATTTGATTTCAGGTAATTTAAAAATTGTATTTCTTCCACAGCGAGTAAGCAGGCATGACATACTGGGGCAAGTGAGTCCAAACTCCTGTCATTAATATCTTACAGAAACGGTCGAAGATTAAAACAAATGACTGAAGCCAAATACATGTATTCATTACTAGGAATTTCCCTAAAATATAATGGATTCTTCCTTTTCTTAAAGGAGAATCACTTGTTTAATCAACTCAACTCTGCTTTTTCTCTGAACACCATTTTTTTCCAGCAGTAACGCATCTTGTTGGGTGGCTTATTTTTTTCCTGAGTAAAAGCAGTTTCCTAGATTTTTCTTGCATTCATAACAGAGTGTGTGTAGGTAAGGTAGAAAGGTTGTGGTGGTATAAAACTGGTGGTAGAAAAGAACAGTCTTAGAAGTAGGTTCTTTACACTGTTATTATTATTTTAATCAGAGATATTATTTTTAAAGGGTTCAAGATTGTCCTCAGGCTTTGGCACATGCTCAACTATTTAGTCATAAATCTTAAAAAGAAAACACCAACCATATTTGATCCCCCCCCCCCTCCCCCCCCGCAACTTTTAAAAATAATCTGCTTTAAAATATTTTGCAATTGCTGGTTCTGAATGAAATAGTGAATGCATTTAGCATGATAAACAGTATACACTCAAAACTGTGAGCAAGAAACTGATATTTACAGATCTTTGCACACATCTGTAATCCATTCCACCACATTTCACGCACACAAAGCCAAGTTAAACAGCAAAAACCTCAAAAAAACCCAAACCAAAACATTAAAAAGCACATTCATCCAGAATAGTATTGCAAAGTCTTAAACTAGACCAGGAAAGGATTGACTTTATCCAGTTTAGCTGTTCAAGCCACGATCACAGCTGTGTTTTCCAAATTTACTAAATGAACTGCATCACAGCACACCTTATTCTTCCTGTCTTTTCCCTCCAGAATGGGGCAAAATGCCTCAAGCAGAGAATATGAAGACACCCAGGACTCTGGACTGTTCTTTCTGCCTTCAAGGCACTGTTAGGATTTTAAACAGCTCAGATCCTGAGTTAAAGTGGTCAGTTTTGAAATTTTTATCTCACTGCTGCTTCCCTCTGGGAGGTGTGCAGAGCACAACTCATTAAGTTAGCATTGGTTTCCGTGGACAAGCCATCTGCTGGGGAATTATCATGCCTCTGCCTTGCTCCTTCTGCTGCAAGGGAGGCAGGATTCACTCTGCCTTCATTGTTTCACTCAGCTTCAGTCACCAGGAGTGTCTGCTCTGGGCTGGGGTCGATGAGAGCAGCTGTGATGGCTGGGCCAGAGGGCAGGAGTCCAGGAGCCCCCTAACTCTGTTTCCATCTCCAAGTTACTTTTGAATGTTCCCAGAAGTGCAGCAGAGAGGAACAAGCCCCAGTGGGGCAGTGGGACAGTCTGTTTTCCTCTCTCTAAGCTGGATTGAAAAGGCATTTATAGCTGATGTTCTTCAGGCACCACCAAATAGTTGTTGGGATTGAGAAATTCACCTGAGCATCCTTGTTTCTTCAGTTTCCTGAGAAGAATGAAGTTGTGTCATCTTCCTGAGTTAGGCATGGGGGAAACTGGGATTTATCTCTGACCTATGGACACCTACAGTTCACCCATTTCTGTCTATGCAAGACATTCCTTGCAAGAACATGGAGCAAAATGTACATTTTTTGAGCTCTGTTCACCCAATCTACCTCAGTTCTTGAGGGTACAGTGAGCTGCATCAACACTTCAGCTTGTTTCACCCATGGGCTCTCAAATGTTCTGAATTCTTGGTGCTGCCATCAGTGACTTGAACACCTTCTCCTCAGGGAAACACTTGAGCAAGGACTGTCACCCTGACTGAGAAATGCAAAGTATTCAGGAGCATCTGAGCTGGACAAGGCTGTTCTGGATCTCTTGGTGGAATCTGTTCTCAGCCCGAGCAGTGCTGACCTTGGCAGTGAGCAGCTGCCTGTGCCTTTGCCCTGCCAGGACCCTCGAGTGGCACGGGGGAGTGCTGGGGTGGCTGTGAGCGCTGCTGACAAGTGGCATAGGAACCATAAAGCAATTTTCCTTACAGAGGAATCCATGTGGCTGGTTCCTGGGAGATACAATGCACAAAGGGCTGCCTCCAGTGAGGTTGGGACCTGACAATCTCTTGAGGCACCAGGGAGCCCAGGTCTGTGAGAGTCTCCTGGGGGAAGGCAGAGGTATGTGGATGCTGAGGGAAAATTCATCTTCCCTTCCCCTAAAGTCCCACATGTTTTTCTTGCAACACAGAGAGGGTCAGGTGAATAATTCTGATTCCCTGCACTGGAGTCATTAATCTCTTGAACAAAACAGAACACAGGAGCAGGGTACACACTCAGTCTGTGTATTTCTACCAGGCAAATCAACCTGTCTTCTTCCACTTCTCCCTCTCTATCCCATATCAGTCCCTCCACACATGGGAGGAATGCAACTCCACTTACAAACCCTCTGCAGATGAAGCACCTGCTCCAAGGAAATCTCTTGCCACTTCCATTGGCTCCATGCAGTGAGTGTCAGGGAGCTCAGAGGCAGTGCTCTGCTCCCCTGACATGACTCTCCCTGCACTGAGCAAGGCTGCTAAGGTTCTTACAGGATTAGGGATGACCAGCACTCTGTCATCACTGTTTCTGATCTCTCCACCCTCTCT